GAAAAACTCGAGGGACTTGCGTTCAAGAACAACTAACGGCTGCTAACAAGGACACTCCCAGCGAAACTCCTCGATTGAATTTCAAGCCTGCAGAACAGGGATTGTGCGCAGTACCTCTCCCGCGCACAACTCCGTAGGTTGCCCCGAGGTAACCTCAGGGCAACCTACGGAGTTGTGCGCGGTAGAGGTACTGCGCGGGAGTAGAAAGAAAAAGGTTTGAGCTACGAGGCCGAGGCAACCCCAAAGGATCATTCAGTGCTTTACAAGCGCCGTTGTTTGTGGCACGATGAGCGCAGTAAGACTCTGAGTGCAATTTCAAGTCCACTTCACACATTGACATCTTGTGTTAATAATATTTGTTGCCTCAAACCTATGGGGGGGGGGGGGGGGGGGAACTTGGTTCGAATACTGTCCAACTTTTGTTCAGACGTTCTAAGGTCGTCGAATTTTTTAACTCAAGAGGTCGAAAGTTTAAAAATCGTCGAATTGTTTAGTGTAATCAGATCAAAATGACAAATTATATAGCGCTAAAAATTGTAATTTTCAAAACAATCGAATTTCTCAGCGCCAAATATAGAAAGTTCGAAAATCGCCTAATTTGTTTATCTAAAACGTTCGTGGTGTCAAAACTTTGCGAACATTTCGAAACTTTTGGTTCGATCTTCGAACCTTAGTTTCGCAAAACGTTCTATCTCTATTTGTAAAAGCATTCCCTAGTGAAAAAAGCTATAAGCATCAGAAAATTTTTGTGACCAATAAACATATATGAATCATTAAAGATATAAAATATTATATCTGAACCATATAAGAAACTTATAAGAAACATCTCAGAAGTTTTTTATAGTGTTCTTTTATGTTGTTATATATTCGTATGATACATACCGTATTCAATCGACTAGTAGCCACACTATACTGAGCAAGGTCCTTGCGTCTACTTTCCCGCGCAACAAATATATATCCAATCACTGCGTTGTGCATAAATAGCAGCAAATAACCAGATTGGGAACACAGTTGTCCATACAAGTGCAACATTCACAGATGGTATCTTCGCATGAAGACGTTATCTCTGTCCTGTAAACAGCTGTAATTATGCTGTCAATAGCGGTGATTGGCAATCTACGTGCTCTGCGGAAAAGCGAACCCTCAGGTTTTCTTCACAAACAATGCGGTTATTGCTCGAGTAAATACGGTCCCTGGTAGCACACTTTCTTGGTTTAGCTGAGGTAAGGATTGGCACTCAGTTGTGATAGCTTGGCCACGAATGGCCAGCCATTTACGTCTGTATGCCAGCCTGGCGTTTCACAGTCTTTCCTTGCCCCAGAAAGACACGGAACTACCAAAGAACGTCTTTCCTGGTTGAACAATCAAATTCCTTGGTCATTGGTGGCCAGGGTAAACAGGCCGCTGCCAGTACTGGATGTAACCTGGCTGTCTATTGATTTTCCTCGGTCAGAGATGGCCAAGGTAGCAATGACTCTGCCAAGCTTTGAGGTTCCATGGTGGTTCATAGGAATCCCTGGTCCGCTCAATACCAGCAACAGCCATTGTTCGGGCATGTTGCCAGATTGAAGATAGGGTGAGCCAAGGAATGACCGGGAATTGCCGCTGTGCAATGTTCCTTGGCTCAAGTTCGTATTTCATTGGAGCCAGAATGCCCGCTGAAAGCCACTGTTATTCTATAGTTTGTTTTACTTTTTTTATTCGTATGAGCGTTTTCTTAACATATGTTTGGCAATTTGTGGCACGAGGCCTCGCACTAGAAAGTGGCGTTTCAGTGCAAAAAGTCTGTTTTAGCTAGAGGCATAAAAAAATAACACGTTTTCTCCTTTGGAAAAAAAAAACGATTTGAAAACAGTTTGGATATGAACACGCCAAACCCGAAATGAACTGGTTGTAGTGGAATTGTACCGGGCAAATAGGAAATCAAAATGTCTAAATTGGTCGAACTTGAAAAATGAACTGGCCAAGGTGGCAGATGTGTTGGCTGAACTGTCAATTGTACAGTTCAAACTGCTAGTTAACCAGGCAAAACTGGTAGCTTGAACTGGCGACACTGGTGTCATAATGTTCAAGTTGTCCGCAAACAGTTTGAACTGGCAGTCGAACTGTTCTAGCTGGCAGTCAAATATTTACAACTGGCAATAAAACTGGTCTCACGGTATCTAAACAAGTCATACCAGCGGAACTGGAGAAAATGCTCGTTGAACTGGCAAAGCTAGTAGTATGCCCAGTTTAAAATAATTAACCATTGGAATCAATCCAATTGGCCTTTTCATTCGGATCGAGTTCGTTTCACTCTTCCTAATTTAACTCCTAAGCAAGAAAACCAGATTAATGACATTTCTTCTACATGAACGAATTGTGCTTTTACACCCCAAAGGGCTCACAATGAAAAAAACAACTATTTGACAAAACAACTTTTACCAATTCCATAGGCAAAGATGTGTTTCTGGAATGAATCATGCCACAGCTAGCAGAGAAAATGTCTGGGTTTTACAGCACATTTATTATATGCAGATGTCACATGAGAGAACAGATGGGCAAATAAAAGCTTTATTTTTACGCATGTACAGTTGTAACTAGTTTGCAACAATAGTTGGAGGCAGGTCAAGAATTCAGTGATGTAATCGCCTCGTAGAAGCTTATATATCCCTCTCCCAGCCAATCGTTCCCGCTTGAACTTTTTACCGCGGCTTTTATCCACCCTCGCTTGCATCGAGAAGCAGCTTCCGGGGCAAGTGCCCGAGGTGGGGACAGGTGGGAAGCCTCCCTGTTATGTTGGAAAAGCGCGGGAGAAAGACCGCACCAGCAGGTGAGTCAGGCGCCTGAAATGCGCCAGTGCCCCGGGACCGGAGGTGATGCAGTGTTTCCGCGCGCAGCGCGGATGCCTTGAAAGGGTAGAGCTGCTCACGTTCCAGGACAGGGAGCGCGCGGGCCAATCAGCGCGGCCCTCGCTCCCGCTCGGAGCGCCAGTTTTGAGATGGTGGCGGTTGTATCAATTGTAATTTCAAACCCCCCCCCCCCCCCTAAAAAAAAAACAAAAAAACAAAAACAAAAAAACAGATCTGGCGTGACGGTTGGTTGGGTCGTTGGGTCTTTGTTTGCGGTGCTGTTCACACTGTTCTGCTTGGGGAGGTTGAAAGTTGTCTTTAAGCTGTGTTTGTATAAGATAGTTTGCCGGAACCTTGAGTGCTGCCTCCGCCGATGGTTCCTCTGGCTGATGACGTCCTCCACCTTTTCCCCTTACTCGCGGGCGAAATGGCTGCATCCGGCGCGGGCAATGGGTCTTTCGCTACGCGCCAGCGAGCCAGGTAAGCAGGCTCGACCATTTGGATTCATTTTCATAATCCGGTGCATGTGAAACTGAACCTTTCTGCAACGCGATTTGGAACAGCTATGCTAGTAATACAACCGCCAGCGTACATGCAGCTTTAGAGATCCTCTACCACAGTGGTTGCGAGCTGCATAGCGGCCGACAGACTGGGGAGGCAGGAAGGGGGTTACAACAGCAGGATATTTTCATTCCTAGGCGTTACTTTGCGTAAAGGCTGAACTGCATGTAAGCGATTCAGCGAGCGACGAGAGTCAGCGACGAGCGGCGGAGATTTCCCACGGTCGCTCGTCGTGTCGCTCGGTTTTTGGATTTCTACAAATCGTCGCTCATCGCCTTGGTCGCTTGCTCCGGTCGTTTTCAGGCGGTTTGCCGCGTCGTGCGAGTGTCCGAACGACAGCCAAGCGGATTGTCGTCGCTTGTCTCGTCGCTCGCCAAATCGCTTACATGTCGTTTGTTGTTAATTGCCGGGAGACTGGCAGCACATGTACGATTGGCACATGCTTCCATAATCCCTCTTACCGTTTATGATAGTGCAAATTTTTTTATTCGTGGCATTAGGTAAATACTATTTTAGAACAGACGGGTGCAAATAAATCTGCCATTGTTCTAATTACTGATGTTTATTCTTATTTCAGGTGTCTTCGGGTACTGTTAGCCACCACCGGAACCCCGACACTGCAGAAGATTTGGAGAATCTCGCCAACAGGCTTGGACACATGAATAATATCATGACAATTTTTTTTTGCACTGTAAATATGTTTCTATGTTTATTTCTGCGGTCTGCAGTATGTATCTTTTTTAAATAAAGCGAATTTTATTATTTTACGACCTGTATTTTCAATGGACCAGTTGAACTAGTTTAACTGCATGGAGTCGACCAGTATAAACTGTTGTACAGTATTACCACTATACACATTTTCACAGTAAGGCCGGTATGCACAGTTTCATAGTAAAACCAGTATGCACAGCTTCAGTTTGTCCAGTTCAACCAAATTAACCAGTGGGAATAATCCTGTTTAAACTGGCTCAGTTTGCAAAATTTTTCAGTAGGGCCGGTAGCTGCCCTGCTGGTCCGGGTTGAATTTCTATCGTCTAGCCAAGCTTGGCTGACCCCTCTGCCGCTAACCTGACCCATGCTGTATATACAATAGCGAGCCAAGCTTGGGGTACCACTGAGTTTCCCGCCTGGCCCAGGCCATAATTCCAGGGTGAGCCACTCCATGGCTATACAGGGGACTGCCGGTGGTCGCCAGACTGGCATACCAGGATGGGGCTGCCTAGCACCATGGGGTGAAACAATCTAGGCACAGTGAAACTTCCCCGGCTGCCCAGTCTGGCTCAAGCTTGAGCCGGTCGTAATGTGCTGCTTGGGGTATATGTCTATTAGTTAGGCTCAAAGGTTTTTTTATATAAATGAGATTTTTGAATAGGGTGCAAACTACATTTATCTGAGATAAGCTTTTTATGTCCTTTTAGCACCTCAAATTTGTATGGCACGCCGAGGCAACAAGTCAGACATATTTTACATAAATCAAACGTCCAAACTTTTGTTTCATTATGTACGTAAATTTAATATGTATCGTTCATACCAGCTCAGCCCAATACCGCAGCCTTCTTTAAAGCCATAGGAAGCTGCGCTATTCTTAGAACCGAACAAGCTCTAAGACTAACCGGGGATTTGGCCAATAATTCTGCCAAATCTGGAATTCTTGCACCTCATGTTATTGGGACTGCAGGGCCTCCTTTTCTTCCTTCCTAGTCTGTACTCATCGGCACCATCGACGGATTTATTTCCAGCCTTCTTCAGGTCCTCGATGATCGCCAAAATTCCAGAAAGGTCGTCTTCTCTACCCCTGAGAGCATTTTTAAGCTGTTCGAGGTTTGCGTAGAGCTCGTCCTTGATTTTTTCTGATGGTTCGACAGTCCATGCTTTCTCCAGTTCAATGCGCTCTCCCAGGAGCTTGGAGATGGTTGTCATAAGCTCTGGATTAAGATCTGGAATATCTGAAAAGGGTCAGAAAAGCAACTTAATAACTCAGGCCTGCCTTCTCTTCCAATTATTTGCTTACTAAAGAGTTGAAATTGAAATGTTCATAACTCAGCACTACCTTAGCTACCACATAATATCGCAATCAGTCAGTGGTTTTGTTAATGTATATGTAGTTACTTTAAAATAATGCATAGCATCGAAAGAAACTAAAGAGTCATATAGTTAATTCTCAAAATAAACACTTACCATCTTCAGTATCGAAGGCAGGTGTTCTGAAAGAAAGTAAATTCAACTGGTTGGGCAAACGAATGCTACGAAATGTCCTTGAAACTGAACCTATCTCTAAAATACCTTCGTATAACTACACGGCTATAACTACTCGTTTATTATTCTGCAAACTAATTTAATTTGTAATCAAATATTTCAGATTTCCAAATAAATGTGCTATACTGATCGTATAAAACATATGTTACGATGACGCTAAAAGACGAACTCTCTGGCGGCGCTGGTAGTGAAATATGTACGTATGCATTCATCAAGTACCTACCCCTGTTGCACGCAATGAATAAAAATATACTGTAGAGTTACGCATTGCAGTCATATTTATTGGAGGGATTTTATCTTGCAAGAATTTTATGGTCGCCAGCATGATTTTATTTTTTATGTCAGTGCTTGGCCCCAGCGTTTCCAGTCCTCGGATTACTTTAAGCATACGTTTGTTGAAGCACGTTGAGGCATTTATTCGTTATTTTGCTACAAGGCATATATACAATATAGTTCCCTTATATAAGAGTTTCGTTTTAATTGGACCGGCCGTAGCGTAGAAGACCGTGATTTAGCCGTTTTATATTAAACTGGGACCTTTGGCGAAACAATGAATAACAACGAAGCGCAGCGATGCCATAATAATCTAATGCAAAAGCGTAGATTTTTACTTATTTCATTGATAGAGCCCTCTTGATTTTTTTTTAATTCGCATTAGCTCGGTTCTAGGCACATCTGCTAAATTAAGAAAAATATGTATGTTATATATTCATTCGCAGTGTACATTTCTAGGTTAAGGAGCATCAAGCAAATACTTATAAATTAATACAGAACGACTACGAAATCCACAGAAAACTTGGTTATTCTCAGAGGGGATCTTATTTAGTTCATTGGAGGTCAAACTTGTAACTTACCACGCGCGACAGTTTTAACCGTTATTTAATGCAATTATTGTTTCATAATAATTTCTCGCCCGCGAGTGACGGAAATGTACAAACCGCTCTCAACATATAACAATTGCCGAAAAAACTACATTTACACAAAAAACAAAAGTTTGAATACCTAAAGGAATACTTACAAAGATGCTCCCCCTATAATAAGAAAAAGAAGCAGATACAAATTTAGTGCCAAAGTAAAAAAGTAAGTTTATATAGTTAAAATGTTTGATATAAAGCACGTACATGACACACTTGTTCCAAACAAAAGGAGAAGCCCAATAAATGGTCCCATTCTTTCAAACCTGCGGAAAAACATAGCTTGTTTGAAATTGACAGCGTTGTACACATTCCTTCAATACAGGTGCAGAAGCCCGTCAATGGTTATTTCTCAATCTTGGAACGAGTTATTGTTAGAATTCCCAGTGGTATGAAAGGAACACGTTCCCATTTTATTTCTAAGGTTGTAACATGTTATTATATGCCATGCCAAGCTAACCAAAAAAGTGTTTTTATGTTCGGATTTAACAAGGCATTCAGAAATATTGTGCTAAGCGTTTGATCCAAGAGAAACATTTGTTTTTCAGGCACATGTACATTCCAGAGCTTATTAGATGCGCGTAGAAATTTGTGGGTATAATTACGATGTTATACAGCAGATTTTTTATTTCTAAAAAGCGATAAAAAGCCGATATGCCGATACACAATAAAATTCAATAAAGGTCAATTGATCTGCCTAGGTTTTGCTGTTCTGTGCGTGATGCGTTATTTCATCTTCTGACTATAGTCAATTTTAATCCCAGGTGACATTTAAGGATTATCTTAGAAATGTAAGTCAATTATGAACACAATAAGCTTGCTACATCGCACGCGTTATGTTTTGATAAAAAAATTCAATATCACCTTTTTCGGTACTTCAAATTCGCATACCTTTTAGGGTCCTCAGCAGAAACGTGAAAAATTGGTCAGTGTATGACGTAGTATTTATGCTATGTATTGGCATTGATATAGGCCATCTTTACGTGATGTTGCTTTAGGTATGACAAAACAATCCGATCAAATACAGTGCACAGTACCCAAATTGTCACTATATTCTCGAACTCACCCCTGCTTCTGCGATGTCGCCGTATAAGAAATATCTGGAAAAACCCAGCAAGTGGCAGGTAACAGATCCAATAAATACCAAAGTGTTATCGGCCATTTCGACCAATCGATTAAGACATGCCTCATAAATGTTACAAAGCAATCGGGTGAGCGCGCAAGTTTCGAAAGGTTATCAAGGTTGTTTTGGACAAAGATTGTTCTCATGGCGACGTAGATTTTGACATAATGCACGCGGTTACCAAAGAAAATACCGAACTACGCATTCTGACTCCTAGAGAAGTTCGTTTGCAAACAAATAACTTACTTTTTACAGTCTAACGATCTACTAGAAACGTCGTGGAATTCGCATGTTTAGAAAACCTTGGTGTTCATAGGCATAGCAGAATTTTGTTCGCTTAACATGTTTATATGAGCCTTAATTCTATAAACTTGAAGGTGATTACTCAGTTGTCACGCTTTTTTTTACTTTGCAGTTCTTGTACTTAACTGTAGAAAAGTCTCGCGATGTGCAAAATTAAAAATAAATAACTGCAGCTGAAAGTTAATCAAACACAGATCTTTTCGTGTATGTGTCGTTTTCACCCACAGTCCTGGGGATTTCGTGGAGCTTAATATTCACCAGATCGTCTGCGCCCTTACATTCAGTTCATTAAACCTGCCCTCACAACTAACGTTTCGACAGCTAGGTAGTGTGATTACCTGACGTTAGGATATATGTATGTTCCCTTATAAATCTGTCAATCAGCACAAAGGTGGTAAAATATCTGTGGTCATTTATTCGGTAAAGTGGGAGTCGTACACATGGCGGATGAATTTGTAAGCTTCAAGGATATCTCAATAGACGTTTCATTGAAACTCACGATATAGAGCCGCAACGCAGGAAAAGCCAACGTTTGTGATTTGAGTGTACAAATTTTATTATCAGTTCTAAAAATAAAGTTTGTTTAGGTGACGAAACTCTACTGCCTTCCACAGCAAAAATATGCGTGCAATCATTCATGGGGTAGCCAAGCGAGTCCTCTCATTGATTGAGATTTAGAGATTATGTAAACACAGTAATTGGAAAAGCCAACACAGCTGCAGGAGCGTTAGACCTCGGACTACGCATGCGCGTCGCTCTGGCGGTGAGATGAACTACAGCCATCCAGGGTCGCTGGTTGCAAGGTCAACAGCCGGCTATCAGACGCACCGCTGAGTACAGCCCCGTCACAAATTGCGAGGTCCAAAATATGGATTCTGATAGTGGCTAATCTAGCAACAGGCAATGGCTAAATAGCAGTTCGGATGTAGTTCAATGACTTACGCTGCCGCGGGTTTGTTGGAATTTTTCACGACTGTAATCGAACGTATTAGCCCGAAGGAACGCAGTGGAGGCAGACAGCAGAGGCATTTACACACTGCATTATAAGTTTGGCAATCAGGCTACTAACAAATCACGTGCCATTGCAACTTTGCGAAGGATTTTTGAAAGAAGGCTGCACGTGGCTTAGTCAGAATTTTTCTATATTCACAACTTCAGCCGTCTAAAATCAGTGCAAAATTGTCACAAACCTGTAGCTAAACCGGACCTCTTCCACGCATGCTGTTTACTTTCTCTTTTAAAAATATAAAGTGATATAAAGTTTCAGATACTCGTGTTGGGTGTTTGGAAAAAGCTAGGGCTATTTTGAGATTGCCGACGGTCTCGTGAATGTACTATGCAAAATCCTCCAGAAGATGAAGTGCACTTTTCTGCTGCCGTAGGCCGTATCGTAGGCATTCACGGGACAACATATTGTTTATCGCCGTCCTCAACCTACGCTCAGAACAAGCTTCCATATATCGTCTGACAAAAAACAACGATCTGGATAAGGTGGTGAGCACTGTGCACGTGCATAAATGTGCATGCTACACAATCCAATTTTTAGATGATAACTATGCTGCGAACAGCGACCACCACTAGGGCATCCCCTAAATAACCCCCTTGAAAAATACGCATGTTACATAAATTATTTATGTGGCGACGTATGCCCATCTGTTGAAGATATTAGTGATGATTGGTTGACGGGATGCCGGTCTGTACTCTCGCGGACCGCGTAAAAAAACGCAATGCATGGCTGATTTGGTTTGTGCGTCTTGTGTAATGATTCATAATTGCGAGCTCTGAGCGGCTAATGTCCTGATATCATGGGCTGCGGAGTGATAATATGATTTTCGGTACTCACCATGTTCAGTGCTCTTTAAGCTGTCAAGGACTCTAGCTATCCAAACTTATTTTGACGTTCCGTTTCATATAGAGACCCCATTGTATACACTTTTCACCCATTTGTAATATTTCCAGCGACCCCATGCGGCAAATAGTAGTGACAGAAAGTCCCACACCCAATTCCTCCTTCTGTGTTGGACATCTGCCACGAGTTTTATACACGTACCTTCCCCCCCCCCCCACCCCTCCTCGGCGCAAACTCTCCAAATAAAAAAAAAATCGAGTGCACTTACGTTAGCGCGTAACGTATATCACAGAGAAAGACATTATTGTCTAGTAGTGTAAATTGCAGAGGGGATTTTTGTTGCTCCTAGACCTCCACAGAGGGCCGCGCGGCGAGGCTTTCCGATGTCTACCCATTCGGCCTGCAACCTCGATCGTGTGTTCTCTGTGCGCCTTGAGCACCCACCACATGTCCTGCTTTTTTTTCGACTTCTGAGTTCCAACGACGTCAGCAGCGGGTACCGGATGAGGTGAGGAGCTGCCGGTCTCAGAGATGCTTCATGGAAGGCGTTGTAGATCTCCGCTCATTTTCGTGGCTGACATAATTTTTGTTCTGTCGGTTTACAACTACATTCAATGCATGATGCAGGTAGCTCGTACCAACGAGTTGAGTCGTATCTAAACAAAAGGAACCCCCAACGGCAGCATATATTCTCTTTCAAAACTGTTTACAGTAGAAAATTAAAGGGTATGATAGGTGTAGCATGAATGACGCTTCCAGGGCAAAGCTAGCGGATTCCGCTCCGGTTCCTTCACAGTGAGGACGAAACGGGATTTTCGCTTTGCTGTGCAGAGCGTGATCATCGAAACAAAATTAAGTTTTGAACTTCATTAGAACACATTTGTGCCGAGGACACCGGACAACAGGTTTTCAATTGGAATCTTGACCAGATCCGGTGTACCTGCACATACAGAACACAATAAAATATTAAAATAAAACAACAAAACTATTACCGAAGCAAAACAGGTGTACACTGTTTTTACTTAAGTAATGAATATCAACGCGGTCAAAGACGAAGATTTTAAGCAATGTGGGCAAGTTATGACAAAGTTATTGAAGTGAATGATGAGTACGAAAGTTGGGAACGATACGCAATTTCTGGCGTCGAATAATTATCAGAGATTCGCGTTTAGTAACGTTCAAAAAATGATATATAAAACCACTTCACACTTGAAAGGAAATACAAACATAATAAACGATAGTAATAGACACTGCCAACTTCTATTATATTGTTACAAAAAAATGGTTCTAAATCAGTGTCGTGGGGAACATTTGCAATAAAACACAGTACCTTTTCTTTAAAAAAAGCATTACTTCGGTTATTTCCGTTTTAGTCGGGGTACCTAAACGAAATCACAATTGTGATGAGGTGTGGGCGAGACAGCTCTGCAGCGATGTAGCAGTCATCGAATCCCATGCTCTTCCTACTACAGATTTTCGCTATGCATGCCCTACGAGGATTACTACGACCTTTCAAGGCTGCCAAGAGACGCGACTCTTCTTCAAGGCCCGTGTAAGGAGATAAGGAATCCCTACCGAAATATCCGGTATAACTTTCCCTATCCGGAATATGGAACCGGAAATTTGTTACTGGAAACCCGAAATCCAGATTGCAGACAAAGGAATAATTTCTGAAAACCTAAATTCCAGATAGAGTCCAGATAGAATCCAGATAGATTTCCGGTTCCATAATCCGGATAGCGAAAAGTTATACCGGATTTTTTGGTAGGGATACCAGTCGACTTAATCGTTGGCCCCTGAATTACCAATACTTTCTGGCTGGAGGTCCTTAGTTCCCAACGACACCGGATCGTCATCGTCAGTGTATATGTCTTCACGACACGCCACCTGTTTGGGGCGTATTTCGGCGGTGGGAGGCGCAGCTCTGCAGATAATCCCATGCTCTTCCTAATACAGATTTTTGCTTGGCATGCCCTACGAG